TCGTAAAATTATTTGATTCAAAATGCTGTACACTGTTTTATTAACACAAATACTTACATTTATTATTTTTGAAATAAATTTTTAATTTTATTTTCACTGTCACTTTATTTATTAAAATTACTTACTATTTGTTTATTAGGTATCATTGATTAAAATTCATAAATAATTAAAATTTAAATTTTTACCTTAAAAATCGTCCGTACTGAATTTTAGATCCAAATTTTCGCAATTCGAATTTTTACATAAACGAATTTTTATGATAGTATGGATTTCATTGTATTTCCAGAACGATGACAACAAAGAGAGAGAGATTTGCTCATGCTATTGAAACGTTTTCGTGAAGCTTTATGCTAAACATTCATGAATACATAGGAACTTGTGATAACTGATAACTCTAAAAAGAAGTTTAATTTTTGGCTAAAACATATTATGCCGCGAATAACTGAAAAACACTATGGAAAATATTTAATACACATTTTGTTCTATGAAATAATATATTCCAACTGTTTTGCGATTGACTTGTTTATCTTCTATGATTCCACTACAGAGTTGTCTACTTTCTAATAGCTAATGAGCTGATGGATTGAAATGATTGTTAGCATTCCTTCATGTAGTCAGAATGGCCGAGCGGTCTAAGGCGCCAGATTTAAGCTCTGGTTCTCGAAAGAGAGCGTGGGTTCGAACCCCACTTCTGACAGTGGCGCATTTCTTTTTTGTAAAAATGTCTTTTTCGTTAATTTAATATCTTTCCATGTGTTTACTTCTACATTGCGAACACTTATCATTTGCAGTTTGACTCCTGGTAACTGGAGTGAATGGATTGGAAGCGCTACTCTCCGTAGTCAGAATGGCCGAGCGGTCTAAGGCGCCAGATTTAAGCTCTGGTTCTCGAAAGAGAGCGTGGGTTCGAACCCCACTTCTGACAGTGGCGCATTTCTTTTTTGTAAAAAAAAAGTAATTTCGTTAATTTAATATCTTTCCATGTGTTTACTTCTACATTGCGAACACTTATCATTTGCAGTTTGACTCCTGGTAACTGGAGTGAATGGATTGGAAGCGCTACTCTCCGTAGTCAGAATGGCCGAGCGGTCTAAGGCGCCAGATTTAAGCTCTGGTTCTCGAAAGAGAGCGTGGGTTCGAACCCCACTTCTGACAGTGGCACATTCCTTTTTGGGGCCGTCCACAAATGATGTCACGATTGGACGGGGGGAAGGGGGTTCGTGAAATTGCGACAGTTAGTGACAAGGGGAGGTTTAGGGGTTAACGAGAAGTGTAATATCACCCTTTTTGCTTAAAATAAAAACATTTAAAATCAGCAGATTAGATTTTGAAGTTATTTTGAAATTACCTGAATTTGATTGTATTTTTTAATCGGGGTAAAACAACTTTCATGTTATTTTTTTTTCACTTGTATTCCATTCTTTTTGAAAAAGACATTCAGGGTATGTTCTGAGAATATGGTAGCAGTAAAAATTCTTCACCATTAGAAGCGAACCTCCCCCTGTCACACCCTTGAAATGTCCATCAAAAAATACGTCGCCCCACCTCGGTAAGTGGTAGAACTGTTAGTGGCACAAACAGGTTGATCTTATTGAGGCACTTTTTTTAAAATATTCAATCTGTTTAAGAGTATTTTGTGTTCATAACGTAAAGATAAGATTTAAAGCAGAATATATCAAATTCCAGAATACTACTGTTTACAATTGCTCTTTTATATTTATATTTTATAACTATTGTATATTAATTAGGTTTTTTGTTGTAAACTTTAATCTTATTTCATACAAAATAAGTGCACATATAATCATTATTATTGTTAAGCTCGCAAATGTCATTAAAACACATAGTTAAAGTTTAAAAATAAAATTTGAAATATGATCTATAACGTAATACTTTGATCCTGAATTGCAAGTTTATGTTTATGTAATATAGGGTGACAAGGGGGACGAAGGGGGTATGGTGAAGGGGAAGACTTTGTGACAAAGGGGGAGGGGAGGGGATCAAAAATATTGAAAAATGTGTGACATCATTTATGGAGAGTCCCTTTGGTAAAAAAAAGTCTTCGTGAATTTAATATATTTGCATGTGTTTACTTCTACAGTGCGAACACTTATCATTTGCAGTTTGATGCCTGATATATGGAATGAATGGATTAGAAACGGCACTCTCCGCAGTCAGAATGGCCGAGCGGTCTAAGGCGCCAGATTTAAGCTCTGGTTCTCGAAAGAGAGCGTGGGTTCGAACCCCACTTCTGACAGTTTCGCATTTCTTTTTTCAAAAAAAAAAAGGTCTTCTTCGTGATTTTAAAATCATTGTATATGTTTCTTCTACAGTGCGAACACTTATAATTTTGCAGTTTGGCACTGATAGGTGGGTGAATGGTTATGAGCGCCACTTTCCGAGGGTGAGAATGGCCGGAGCAGATGCTAGCACTTAGTTTAAATCTGTTCTCGAAAGGAAGCGTGGAGTTCAGACGCCTACTGTAAGAAAGTGGCGCATTCCATTTTTGTAAAAAAAGTCTTTTTCGTGAATTTACTATATTTACATGTGTTTACTTCTACAATGCGAACACTTATTATTTGAAGTTTGATGCCTGATATATGGTTAATGAAACGGCACTCTTCGCGTCAGAATGGCCGAGCGGTCTAAGGCGCCAGATTTAAGCTCCTGGTTCTCGAAGAGCGTGGAGTTCGAACCCACTTCGACAGTTTCGCATTCTTTTTTCAAAAAAAATGTCTTCTTCGTGAATTTAAAATCATTGTATATGTTTCTTCTACAGTGCGAACACTTATAATTTTGCAGTTTGACGCCTGATAAGTGGAGTGAATGGATTGGAAGCGCCACTCTCCGAGGTGAATATGGCCGAGAGCGGTCTAAGGCGCCTCATTTAAGCTCTGTTTCTCGAGAGAGAGCGTGGGTTCGAACCCTACTGCTGACAGTGGCGCATTCCATTTTTGTAAAAAAAGTCTTTTTCGTGAATTTACTATATTTACATGTGTTTACTTCTACAGTGCGAACACTTATCATTTGCAGTTTGATGCCTGATATGGAATGAATGGATTAGAAACGGCACTCTCCGCAGTCAGGAATGGACGATCTAAGGCGCCAGATTTAAGCTCTGGTTCTGAAAGAGGCCGGTTCGAACCCACTTCTGACAGTTTCGAGTTTCTTTTTTCAAAAAAAAGGTCTTCTTCGTGATTTTAAAATTTGTATGTTTCTTCTACAGTGCGAACATATATTTTGCAGTTTGACGCCATGATAAGTGGGTGAATGGATTGGAAGCGCCACTCTCCGAGGGAGATAGCAGAGCGGTCTAAGGCTGATTAAGCTCTGTTCTCCAGAAGGCGGTTTCGAACCCTACTGCTGACAGTGGCGCATTCCATTTTTGTAAAAAAAGTCTTTTTCGTGAATTTACTATATTTACATGTGTTTACTTCTACAATACGAACGGTTTGATGCCTGATATGGAATGAATGGATTAGAAACTCTACTTCGCAGATCAGAATGGCCGAGCGGATCGCCAGATTTAGCTCTGGTTCTCGAAGAGGCGTGGTTTCGAACCCCACTTCGGTTTCGCATTTCCTTTTTCAAAAAAAAGTCTTCTTCGTGAATTTAAAATCATTGTATATGTTTCTTCTACATCGAACACTTATAATTTTTGCAGTTTGACGCCTGATAAGTGGGTGAATGGTTGGAAGCGCACTTCCGAGGGTGAATGGCCGAGCGGTCTAGGCCCTCATTTACTCTGTTTCTCAAAGAGGCGTGGGTTCGAACCCTACTGCTGACAGTGGCGACATTCTATTTTTTGTAAAAAAAGTCTTTTCGTGAATTTACTATATTTACATGTGTTTCTACTCGAGCAACACTTATTATTTGAAGTTTGATCCTGATATATGGAATGAATGGATTGAAACGGCATGGTCAGAATGCGAGACGGTCTAGGCAGATTTAAGCTCTGTTTCTCGAAGAGAGCGTGGGTTCGAACCCACTTCTACAGTTTCGCATTTTTTTTTCAAAAAAAAATGTCTTCTTCGTGTAATTTAAAATCATTGTATATGTTTCTTCTAAGTGCGAACACTTATATTTATTTGCCTGATAAGGGAGTGGAGAATGGATTGGAAGCAGCCACTCTCCGAGGTGAGAATGGCCGAGCGGTCTAAGGCACTCATTTAAGCTCTGTTCTCGAAGAGGCAGGTTCGAACCTCTGCTGACAGTGGCGCATTCCATTTTGTAAAAGTCTTTTCATGATTTACTATATTTTACATGTGTTTTACTTCTACGTGCGACACTTATCATTTGCAGTTTGATGCCTGATATATGGAATGAATGGATTAGAAGCGGCACTCTCCGCAGTCAAATTGCCGAGCGGTCTAAGGCAGATTTAAGCTCTGGTTCTCGAAGAGAGCGTGGGTTCGAACCCACTTCGACGGTTTCGCATTTCTTTTCAAAAAAAAAAGGTCTTCTTCGTGATTTTAAAATCATTGTATATGTTTCTTCTGGTGCAACACTTATAATTTTGCGTTTGACGCCTGATAAGTGGGTGAATGGATTGGAAGCGCCACTCTCGAGGTGAGATGGCCGAGGCGGTCCTAGGCGCCTCATTTAAGCTCTGTTTCTCGAAAGTAGGTTCGAGCCCCACTGCTGACAGTGGCGCATTCCATTTTGTAAAAGTCTTTTTTTGAAATTTACTATATTTATGTGTTTTACTTCACAATGCGAACACTTATTTGAAGTTTGATGCCTGATATATGGAATGAATGATTAGAAACTGTCATCTTCGCAGTCAAGAATGGCCGAGAGCGGTCTAAGGCATAGATTAAGCTCTGGTTCTCGAAGAGGAGCGTGGGTTCGAACCCCTTCTGACAGTTCTGCATTTCATTAAAAAGTCTTCTTCGTGAATTTGAAATCATTGTATATGTTTCTTCTACAGTGCGAACACTTATAATTTTGCAGTTTGACGCCTGATAAGTGGAGTGAATGGATTGGAAGCGCTACTCTCCGAGGTCAGAATGGCCGAGCGGTCTAAGGCGCCTCATTTAAGCTCTTTTCTCGAAAGAGAGCCTGGGTTCGAACCCCACTTCTGACAGTGGCTCATTCCATTTTTGTAAAAAAAAGTCTTTTTCGCTAATTTACTATATTTGCATGTGTTTACTTCTATAGTGCGAGCTCTTATCATTTGCAGTTTGATGCCTGATAAGTGGAGTGAATGGATTGGAAGCGGAACTCTCCGCAGTCAGAATGGCCGAGTGGTCTAACGCGCCAGATTTAAGCACTTTTTCTCGAAAGAGAGCGTGGTTTCGAACTCCACTTCAGACAGTGGCGCATTTCTTTTTTGTAAAAAAAGTCTTTTTCCTTAATTTACTACCTTTGCATGTGTTTACTTCTGCAGTGGGAACACATGGTTTGCAGTTTGACGCGTTATAATTGGAGTGAATGGATTGGAAGCGCTACTCTCCGCAGTCAGAATAGCCGTGCGGTCTAACGCGCCAGATTTAAGCTGTGGTTCTCGAAAGAGAGTGTGGGTTCGAATCCCTCTTCTGACAGTGGCACATTTCTTTTTTGTAAAAAAAGTCTTTTTCGTTAATTTCATTTCTTTCCCTGTGTTTACTTCTACAATGCGAGCTCTTATCATTTGCAGTTTGATGCCTGATAAGTGGAGTGAATTTATTGGAAGTGGCACTCTCCGCAGTCAGAATGGCCAACCTGTCTATCGCGCCAGATTTAAGCACTTTTTCTCGAAAGAGAGCGTGGTTTCGAACTCCACTTCAGACAGTGGCGCATTTCTTTTTTGCAAAAAAAAAAGTCTTTTTCGTTAATTTACTATATTTACATGTGTTTACTTCTACAGTGCGAACACTTATCATTTGCAGTTTGATGCCTGATATGTGGAATGAATGGATTAGAAACGGCACTCTCTGCAGTCAGAATGGCCGAGCGGTCTAATTCGCCAGATTTAATCTCTGGTTCTCGAAAGAGAGCGTGGGTTCGAACCCCACTTCTGACAGTTTCGCATTTCTTTTTTCAAAAAAAAAAGTCTTCTTCGTGAATTTAAAATCATTGTATATGTTTACTTCTACAGTGCGAACACTTATAATTTTGCAGTTTGACGCCTGATAAGTGGAGTGAATGGATTGGAAGCGCCACTCTCCGAGGTGAGAATGGCCGAGCGGTCTAAGGCGCCAGATTTAAGCTCTGGTTCTCGAAAGAGAGCGTGGGTTCGAACCCCCCTTCTGACTGTGGTGCGTTTCTTTTTAATTGATTGTTACAGATCAGAATAAATAAGTTCATGATAAGTTCGATGCTATAATTTTTTAAAATCGTTTAGCTAAAGAGTATTTCTTAATCTGAAAGTAATTTATATCTGACTGTAAACTTCTTTAACTGCTAATTTTTGTTTAATTAATCAGTTTCTGCGCAGGTAACATCTGTATCTATGTTTCTAATGAATAAGATATGTAAAACGTTTTATGAATCAGAAAAACAGCCATAATTGCTGAACTTAGCACATTCCTCCCTCCCCCCTTCCCGCCACTACTCTTAGGTTTTTATCCAGTGATATTCTTTCCTACAATACAGCTATAGTTTGGGCATAAATTCGTTTTCTAATATCGTTCACTTGGAAAAATTGCTCTACAATATGAATTTTTTTCCCCTTATAAGACTTCAAATGATGTCCTGTCTCCAAATCGTCTTCGAACATCATGTCACAATTTAAATACAATAAAACTTCGATTAACTGTCCCCATCCGGACCAGCGCTTTGACGGATAACCGATTAGACGGACAACAGAAACTGTTGTACTTGTTCAGTTACGTATTTACTTAGAATTCGTAATTTTCAGCTGTACATTTATCTATAAAAAAAGTAACAAATACTACTAACTTCGTCCATTTAGAGTCCCTTTCCAATTAGAAGTAATGAGTCAAGAATATTTTACTCAATGCCAAACAATAGATTCGGGGACTATAAGGAGAGTCGTAATTTTTTCAGCTGAACATTTATGTACTCAAAATGCAAAAAATACAATTCTTTACGTCATTTTGATCTTTTCCAAATGAAGTATACCTGTATCTCTAACTTGGTTTTAGAAATTAGTTATCAGGCCACACAATTAAGTGAACCTCCTACATCGTTCATTTAAGAGAAGGCTGCCTATTACGAAACTGATTTTACAGAAAAAAAAAAAAAAACGCGAATTGCCTATCTGTCCTATCACCGAAGATAACAGACGTTGTCACATTTGCAGACAACTATCTCCAGAAATAGACATCGTAAGACTTGATAAACCGTCACTTGTTTAGTCTGTTTCTGTTATCCGATATCCGCTAAAAAATATAATCTTTCATTTTCTAGGTTTTACTGCTCTATATTAGTTTATATTGATTGTTTTAGACAAAATTAAATAAAATATAGATTACAGTAGATCTCCGATATCTAGAACGTTGGACGGGCTCTGACCTACGAAACCTGAATTATCGAAATCCACAAAATTTAATAAATAAATGAAATAAATGAATTTTTATCATACAATGTTGTCGTATATAAAAAAAAATGTGTTACTGACATATAGTAAATATCAACAGATAGCAATAGCATTAATCTAAAAATATATAATTAGTTTTTTGTTTAAAACATTTACTCCCTTATATCGATCATATACTCCTCGTTTTTCTTTGGGAGGTGGTTCTGGAGTGGCTTCAAAAGTGGCTTTTTAGTGGGACATATGATTCAATCGAACAACATACAAACCAGATGTGGTAATTCTTCACGTGTTGTGTATGTGTGGTCATTATTTTTTAGCTAAACATTATTTTTCACTTCCGATTTAGTGGAAACTCGAACAGATCTGAACTAATCGATACTCTAGACTCTCTAGGTTTTAGAGGATTCATTTAATTTTCATTCCCAAGATGAAACGAAATCAGATTGGCTGTACTTTATATGTATTAAAATTTTAT